GAGTCCCCCAAACCCTCCTGGAGCTCCCTGTGTCCCAGCTAAACCTGACAGAACCAAACCCCCCCCCCCGGAGAACCCCCTGCGACCCAGCTAAACCCATCTGGGTCCTGCACCAGGCCCTGTCCCCTGGATTCCCTGGGCCCCCACTAGCCCTCATCACTGTTTAACTCCCAACTCACCCTCACACCTTCAGGTACCCCTAGCCAAACCCCCCAGCCCCCAACTAACCCTCACACCTTCAGGTACCCTTAGCCAAACCTGCCACCCCTGGGGGTATTCCCAGCCAAACTCCCACCCACATCTAGCCCCCAACCACCCCCCTACTGACACCCATCCTTCAGGATACCTCCAGCCAAACCTCCCACTCCCTAACTAAACTCTGCCCCCACGGGGACACCCTCAACCTAACCCTTCTGATTTCTGAGGGGAACTGCCCCAGACTAGCACCCCCCACTCCCAGATTTATTCTCCCACCAAACTACACTTCACCCCCCAGATTAGAGCCCCCCCAATCACAACAGAGATTACCCAAACTAATACTCCTGAGAACTCATGCTCCCAGACTAGACTAAACACCACCACCACCCATCTGTACCTGCACTAGGCTAAACTCCCATCCCAGAATCACCTCCATTGCTTGACAAATCCTGGAGACTCTACTCCCATCTCAAATACTCCTTCCCTTAATCCCATCCATTTGATCCCTCTGGTGACTGCCCATCATCAATGCCTGCCTCTTTCCAGTCCTGGGACCAGCATTCCATCTTTGCAGATACTCCCTTGGATCCCTAAAATTACATTCCCTAACAGTTGCCCCTTCTGACCACTAAAACTCCATCATGATCCTCCTCCCAGCCCCTGTCCCCTCCCGCTGCCATTTCCCTTGGGGCTAAGACCCCATTTTTGAAACCCCCTTTCTAACCAGGACTCATCCTCCGGCTGGATTCCCCAGGGATTGAGCCTGCCCTGAAGACACTGTGCCCCTAGAAATCCCTGGCTTAAGTACTGACGCTTCCTCATCAGCTACTAAAGCAGTCCAGGCCATTGACCTCTATAATGTGGTGTCCTAAACAGAATTTCCTCCGTGGACACCACCCTCCTATATGTACCACATGCCCTCAGACACAGACAGTAATTGCTTGAACATTAGCTCTCCCGCAGCTCATACTGCCCCTTGCCCCAGATGAGCATCTGTTTCCCACTGTGCCACTTGGCTTTTATGTATCTGTTCACCCCTTATGGCTTGCTTAGGGTGCGTCTACACAGCAGGGCTTAACTCAAAATAAGCTATGCAAATTGAGCTACGTCCATTGCGTAGCTTATTTCGAAACTGGGAGCATCCTAACAGCACTTATTTTGAAATAGAGCACTCTTCCTCTGACTGTCCCTACTCCTTGTAAAATGAGGGTTACAGGAGTCGGGGTAAGAAGCCCTCTAGCTTGATGGCATTTTGACACTATTTCGAAATAACTGCCTGCTATGTAATAGCAGACTAGGGGTACGTCTAAACTACATGGCTCCATCGACGGAGCCATGTAGATTTGTTTTTTTTGGCAAAGGGAAATGAAGCCGCGATTTAAATAATCGCGGCTTCATTTAAGTTTACATGGCTGCCGCGCTAGTCTGGACGCTCCCCTGTCGAAATGAAAGCCTTTTATCGACATCCCCGGTAAACTTCATCCTACGAGGCATAACGGGGATGTCGATAAAGGGCTTTCAGGTCGGCGCGGGAGCATCCAGACTAGCGTGCTGAGCCGGCAAACAGCTGATCATCTGTTTGTCGGCTCAGCGCGGCAGCCATGTAAATTTAAATGAAGCCGCAATTATTTAAAATCGCGGCTTCATTTCCCTTTGCCTACAACCCTCATCTACATGGCTCCATCGATGGAGCCATGTAGTCTAGACACAGCCTAAGTTATTTCAAAATAACACTAGTTATTTTGAAATAATGTTGCTGTGTAGGCCTACCCTTAGACATTGACCTTGCCCTTCCCAGCACCTCTTCTCAGACACTGACAAATTTCCAAGGAAGCAGCTAACCCATCCTCAAGCTTTGATACCCCTCTGCTGATGCACTTTGATCCTGACTGTCCTCTAGCAGCTGAGGCACTTTACACCACACTGAAACTGGCAACCTTTTTTATCCTCAGAAGGCAATTTGTATATTACTTCCCTTTCCCCCCCTGCTTCCATAACATAAAGTGCATGGTGTAGGTGGTCTGAAAGGAATTAAAACCACAGCAGAAAAAGATTGAAAATAATTTCTTAAAAAATCCCCAGGATTTATTTCTTCTGCTAAGAAATGAAAGAGAATAATAATGTTTTAATATGTCCTCTGTGTAATGCATTGCTTGTTACCAGTTAGAACTCTTTAACACTGCATGTCCTGACAGATATCTGTCTCAAAATTCCTGGTAAATTTACATTTGCAGACGTATACTCTGACCCCAACCAATATCCCAAGCAAAACCTGGAGATGTGTCTTGGAGATAGGGGAGGACACTGACATCTACCATCTGTGTCTTGGTGACACCTGACTTTGAGCTATTGCAATCTTGCTGAGTGGCCCAATGCAGATATTAATGCAATAGGAAGAGAGGATATTGAGGGATTCCACAACCAAGGGACCTGGGTGTCTGAGGGGTATAACTGTTTTGCTTTATAAACTACTTTGGGATCAAAGATTATTTGTAAATGCAAGGTGCTATTATTGTTGCTTGGCCCATTTCTCATTACTTGTTCATAAACATAATAATAGAAAAGGGATGATAAGTAGTTGAATCTTTAAGACTTCACCATATTTGCAATGGACAGCAGGGAAAAACTTGCCCACAAAGTTGTATACGTGTTTTAGAATGTCAGGTGAATGTACTTCAAAGCTGAAACCAGGCAATAAATGAATTACTATGCTTTCCCACAGCAAATATTCTTGTCTTAACTTGAACCAGCATTTCACACACTTACAGCCTTTGTTTCCTCCCACTGACAATCTTCTCCAATATCTCATTCCTCTGAAATACAAAACACTGTTTGTTTGCATTTTGCAATTGCACAACTTCAGATGGCCTTTTGCCACACTAAAGAAATTAAGGCCCTCTCTCTATACTGGCTCAGATCTTGTGCCCGTGCCTTGCAGATACCCTGTCATATAGCAAAAGTATTTTGCTTTCAGACACACAGACTCTTGCAGGAAATGTTGGGGGCATATGGATTACGTTAGGATTGGTGGCTAGTAGAAAACTAGAGGCAGGCATCAAACAATAGTTACAACTATTAAAGCGGAGGAAAAGTTCTTCTGTGTTCAATTAGTGGAATTTCTACTTAGCAGGTGGAAATGTTTTTTTAATTAGAAACAAAAAAATCCTCTTTAGAGAGACCCTTGATGAAGTAGATAGGAGCAGGCCCATGGTGGGGCATCAAGAGCTATCATGGAGCAGCACTGTGTGGGATAAAGGATGTTCCAGTTAAAATCAATGTTCCCATATAAATCTAAAGATGCAGTTTACATTTTCCATTCAGCAAGATCCTGTGAGGTGCTTCAGTGGGCCTTGAGTGTCCAAAGAAATGTTTTTCATTAGGAATCTTATTGAAAAAGCTGGCTCAATTATATTTATATTCCAATCTAGTAATATATTTGCATGTCATCCTAAAATGTTATGTTGACAAGGAGTTAATCTTCACAATCCAGTGAAATGCAGCTGCTTCCAGAGCAGAGAACAGTTGAGTTTAACAGTGCACAAGACAACAATTCAGAAGAACATTCTATAAAACAGCGCAGGCACTCATAGTATAGCCCAAATGTACTTAATGAGGTTAAAATGTGATCAAGTCTTTGAGGATACCACCTCTTCTCTTGTGTCTTGGGATCTTTGAAGACCACAAAATATTTTGGAACTTAATTTCCCGCCTATTCAAATTACTGTTAAAAGGACTATTTGACTAATTAAGACTATTGACAAAAATCCTCTGCTTCATATTTTTGTTTAAGGTGCCATCAAAATTAAAACGGTATCTTTCTCTCCAGAGGAGCAAAATACAACAGCCCTGGCAGAATTTGGGAATTATATTAAAAAAGGTACAGAATTTACATTCCTACATGTTTATTAATAGAAGGGCTGGCAGATGGCACCAAAATGAGTACAAGGTTTTGATTCTGAATATAATTTGTTTGGTATAGAACTCTTTGTCTTGCTTTTTCTCAAAAGAGGATTGTATTACCACACAGGCTGGTACATCTCCACTGTGGGTAGAAACTGTAGCACAGGTGTCTTATTACCACCACATCATGGTCCTGGTCTGAAGAGGGTTAGACAACCATCTGGTAAAAAACCCTGCCTGAGCCCTGTCTGTAAGAACCATCATCCAACACAGCTGCAGTGGTGGTGAATATTAGGCCCTGTTTTTGCCAAGGGAGACAAGGCTCTAGTGAGGATTTCTGCTGCAGATTGAGACAGTTTGGTAAAGCTGTTTGAGGGAAACTTGCACAACTGCTGCCTGCAACATATAAAGCTTTGTAGTTGTGTTGCCACGTGTGTTCAAACTCACTAGAGACCATGCTTCCATCAAAGTCAATGGTAAAATTCTAATGGGTTTGTGTCACATTCCCAAGAATTTTGGTGGTGGAATAGAAAAAACTTTTCTAATTTTTCTCCTTTGTATGTTTCTCTCTTATTTTTAAACAGTCTTTCCTGATGTGTTTTCTACCAAGTTCATTCAGCATGAGATCATTGGGGAATACAGCCATCTCTTCACTGTCCAGGGTTCTGACCCTCAGCTCATGCCCTACATGCTACTTGCACACATGGATGTAGTCCCAGCTTCTCAAGAGGGGTGGCATGTCCCTCCTTTCTCTGCTCAGGAACTTGATGGTTTTATCTATGGACGAGGGACAGTAGACAACAAAAATTCTGCAATAGTATGTCTTCTCGGTCATCTCATTTCAGAGAGATGAAAAGCTTTAAGGGATGTTATTGTTCAGTGTCTGTTGGGTAAATCATTGACAGTCCTATAGTTTTGTGATTTGAGAACTTCTGGTTTGGAACTAATTAGCTATTAATAATGGTGGTAATAACCCCCAGAAATAACTAAATTAAAATTAACAAGTTACAGCTTATGAGGCAGCAAAGCATGCTGGTAAGACAGCAGAAATATAAACTGACCACTGCTGATTAGACACCATGGTTTAAGAAAAAAAAAAATAGATGAGACTGGAAAAAACCCAAGTATTAATGCAGGGCTACTCAACACGTGGCATGTGGGCTGCATGTGGCCCACAGTGCAGTTTGGCTTTACGCAGTGTTCAAAACATGGCCCGCAGGTGGGAGTCAAAACCAAAAAGTTGTCAATATAATGGTCTTCTGTTGAGATGAGTTTTACTAGATAAATTCCTGGACTGCCATTGCTCATTACAAGTGCTGTCATATGGGTGGAAATTGAGTAAATAATGCATTTTATTAATATCAGCAACACTGACTTAAATGTGGCCTGTGTGTTGTGTAGTCTTGCCTTAATCTTTGTATTCATGCCTGTCAGTGTGAAATAAGCTATTTGCATATATATTTGCATGTATATGCAACCACACTTAAGTTGTGGCCCTCGGCATGTACTATGAGTATCATTGTGGCCCCCGGGGCTTCCAAAATTGAGTAGCCCTGTGTTAATGGATTACAAAATTCATCACCACTGTTCTGACTTTCCTCTTTTTGCTTTTGTATAGAAAGCTAATCCTCATTAAAGTAATAGCTTTGCTACAACTAGTGAGAGGCATACTGTATGCAATTTAGATTTAAAGGCTCAGCGAAGAGTTTCATCAGACATAGAGACCCTAATCATGCTCACTTTGCAGTCAGTTGGATGTGCTTTTCTTAGTAACCTTAGAGAGTAAAAGGACACAGTGACTAGTGTGTTGCTTCTGTTACACAGGGTATTCTGCAAGCTCTAGAATTTCTGCTGAGAAGAGACTACAGACCTCGCAGGTCTTTCTATATCGGCATTGGGCATGATGAAGAGGTATTTCTTTCATCTGGTCTCTCTCATTTCCTCCTATAACAGCAACTTGATTCCTGGATTGACAGTTACCTACGTTGTCCTTGTACTTGGCTCAGTCAACTTTCTAAACATTATTTACTATTATAACCTCTAATGATTTTCTCACTGTTGCACTGACAAATCACTCCTGAGCATTGCAGTCATAGGTATATATTGACAGGTTGAGCTCTCAGTGACATGGGCATCAGGGTTTTGCTCAGCAGAAAGAAAGGAAAAGGGTAAATCCATTCTGTTCATTGGTATTGCTTTCCTATGGCTGTCAGACATTAAAAATACAATATATGGGTGTAATGTGAAAATCCAGGTTAAGATGTATTTGACTGTTCCCGGTGAACAGTGTTATCTAACAGAATGACATAGGGATAAGAAATAGAGAATGATCAGGCAGCAGAATTACCCACTCTCATAAAGACAAGAGTATCATTCTGTGAAATTCAAAGACAAGAGATGATAATATTAAATACCATTTAATAAAATGCCTAATTAAGCTGTAGAGCTCATTGCTGTGAGGTAGCACTGAGGCTTCTCATGAATGAGACCATTTTTCACTTATATTAAACTGGATCGTAAACTGTCTTGCTTCACAGTATAAGCAACCACTAATTGACTGGGGTTAGAAAGAAACTTCTCCCTAGGGACAGATTATTTCATAATTGCCCACTCTAGGGTTTCTTGCACCTTCCTCATGTAACTCTGACTACCATCAGAGTCCAGATACTGTGCTAGATGGATTGCTTGTGTACTTTGGCATGGCAATTCCTCTGATTTGGAGTCTCCTAGGTTTCTGGTCGTAAGGGAGCAATGAAGATTGCAGCTCTGCTGGAAACTAGAGGAGTGAAGCTTGTTTTCCTGCTAGATGAGGGAAGCGTTATCCTGGATGGGTTCTTGGAGGGAATAAAGAAGCCAGTACCACTGTAAGTGAATAAAGTAGAGAATTTAACACAATGAGTCCAATCCCTGGCTTTATAGGTAAGTATAAGAGATTCTCCTAGTTTGGACTAATGCAGAGGTATCTGTAATTCAACATAAAGGCCTTCTGATCCTGCAGCTACCTTTTCTTCCTTGGTAAAGACACAGCCAAGAATCTACAGTATAGGGTTGTATTGCTGATGATTTGATTGCAATTTCTGCTCATCTCAGTGAAAATATAAATAGAAGCAAATGTTACTGCTGTGTGCATAAAATTAAGTATATTGTACACTTGTATACATGTGTGTGGCTCTCAGGTTCCTGTCAGATTTTCTATGACTCCCTCAGCATTGCAGAGATTAGGCACCCTCGCTTGTTTGGGAAGCCCACCCTTATGTTTTCATCCCACTAGTGACTAAACCACATAGTTGTGATGCCTCCTTGTTCACTTGAGTAGGCAAATTTGGCTAGTTTGCAGCATAGTCACTGGGTTGAGGGTCGAGAGGCCCATTTTTTTACATATCTGTCTTCTAGGCTGTCTCTAATAGCTGCCTATGGATTTTTTTAAAGATAAAATTCATTATCTGCAGTTGGTTTTGGCAACATAACTTAATAACTTTCCCCTGACCCCTTTTCTCTCAATAACTTCCCCCTTCCCCTGGCCTTCCCCCCTCAACAAAAAATCCCTGGTGTTGCCCATAAAAAAAATTATCGTTTGGTGTTCCTCGGTCTTAAAATGTTTAAGAATCACTGGTCTATAATCTATAGAGCTTGAACGCTCTCATCATGCAATATTTGGAATCAGCTTGACATCATTATTTCTTGTTCATCAGAATAGCGATCACAGAGAAGGGTTCAATTACAGCAAACTTCAGTGTGGAAAGCGCGCCAGGTCATTCCTCTGCCCCTCCTAAGGAGATGAGTATCGGTATTCTTGCAGCAGCGTTGTCCAGGTGAGAGCTAACCTGGCTGTGTAACAGACTTAGAGTGTCGTGCAAAGTCTCCTTAACAGACTTTACATCAGCACGGTACATATTTGTGGCAATGTACACAATGATTCTGTACTTCGCTGTGAATGTTTAAAAACTGAAACTTATGGCTCAAATGTGCAGATATGCAACTGCTGGCAGAGGGCTTTGCTGGAGCATCTCTGCACTCCAGCTATTCAAGTTCCTGGTGTGGTCCCTAGGGATCCTAAAAAGCCAGGCACAAATTAGAACATCAGCAGAGCTACTCTGACTTATTCCAGAGGCCCCAGTGTCAGTCAGTAACCCCAGAATATGGGGGATCTGCAAAAAATGAAATGAAGCTATTTTTGTTCCCTTCCTTGTCTGTTGCCAGAATTTCCACAAATCTTTTTTGACTGTATTTGCTATAGGTGATAGCAGTGCAGGCAAATCAATATGGTGTAGTATCAAAATGTTAAACCCTGTAGGCTTTTCAGTGTCCCTATCCCAGTGGATACACAATAGACTGATGGGGGCAAGGGTGTTAGTTTATAGAAGTGCCTGAAATAAAAAGAGATTTGATATCTTTGGCCCATTGTTTTTATAGATGTACACATTTCCCGCATAGTCCCTCCATTCCCATTGAGAGCCAGCCTTGGCTATCTCTTTATCCACCTCCAAAAGACTCTCTTCGGATGAGACAGAAATGCTCTGAATTCCATGATGAAGTTGTTCTCCAACTTCTCCTTGATTTGTGAGCTCTGAGAGATGTGGGTGCATCTCAAAGCACTTGGCCAAGTCCATGAACCAAAACACAACCTGTGGTTTTCTGCAAACGTGGGGAATAAGGTTTTGTTTTCAAATGCTCGTTTGCTTGTTGTAGGCTGGAGCAGAATCCCATGCCCAATCTCTTTGGCCAGGGGCCAGAAATCATGACTCTTGAGTACTTGGCTTCAGAGGTAAGGATTCAACTGTAGCTTCATTCTCAAGTTTCACGTAATTAATATTAATGAATTAAAAGTAGTCCCAAACCTGTGAATTACTGAAGGGGTTTCCTAATCTCTATTAAAATGGCTTATCTTAGAAAGGAGAATTCAAAGCTTCAGTGCATAGTTCTCCTACTGCAGCATCCCTTTTATACATAGAAGTGAACCCTTAACCCGTGTTCTGCCCCTGGGCAGTGTCATCATTAAACTTAAATTTTGATAATTGGTGCATCTTTGTTTTCTCTTGCCTCTTAGTTCAGTTTTCCTCTCAATCTCATCATGAGCAACCTGTGGCTGTTCTCGCCTGTCATCAGTAGGTAAGGGAACACATCCCTTCTTCAACACTCTCAGCTTCTGGCCCCATGAAATACGGGAACCAATGTCCAGTTAGAACAGGGGTTCCAAATTCATAGCCTGCAATCAGGCCCACACAGCCTGCGGCCCAGGGAAGGGTGTCCTTACCCTTCCCACAGATCCAGACCCTGCTCCCCCCGCACCTCTTTCCATCTCTGCTCCGCCCTCTTCTCCCTCGTCGCACCCATTCTCTCAGGCCCCTTCCCTTGAGGGATAGCCTCTCAGGGATTACTGGGGGACTTGGCACAGAGTGGAAGCAGGTTCTCCCCACCCCTACATTCACCATGGCAGTCTCTGTTCTGCTGCCATCTACCAGGCCTGCCCACTCGCTCTGCTTCACTATGGCAGCAAAAAGTAGAGTGCCTCAGCCCCAGCACATGCTGGCTTGGGAGATGGCAGAGTGTAGCTCTGCTTCCCCGCGGCTCCCGCCGCCACAATGAGTGTGAGGGCCCGCCCACCGCTCGCCCAAAGCCCCATGGACTAACCTGAGTATGGGGGACCATCTCATCCATAGGACAGGTGGGGCAGCTATCACAGGGCCTACGGGCACTCACCTCCCTCAGGTTACAGGGATGCACAGCACTAGCTGTCAGAAGCTGCTCTAGCCCCGCTTTGCTCCCAGTGGTGGCCCCGGAAGTATCTGGGGAGAGGTTAAATCACCCTGGGGTGGCAGGCAGGACTATGGGACACAGAGTGCAGAGTGGTAGCCAGGGCTGGGAGCTGCCAGAGAGGGGTGCTGGCTAGCCCACTAAGAGGACTTGAGAACTGGCACTGGCCCTCTGGTAAATGGAGTTTGAAATCCCTGATTTAGAAGCTTTAGTCCTTTTGTTTTCTTGCCAGTAAGGTTGCTCTTCCCTGGAAATCAGCCATCCTATGTCTCAGTTTATGAAACTGTAACACACTTACCTTGCTTTAATCAATACATGAAACATACTGTAACTCCTCTGCTAATGCATAGGTCAGTCTCTAATCAACGTAATTCTCGCTTTTGTTGTATTTATATCTTTTATAAATACACAACTCCTTTCAAAAACTTATATTCATGCAGAATTTTTGAGCAGAAGCCCTCCACCAATGCCTTGATTCGGACCACCACAGCTATCACCATGTTTAATGCAGGAATCAAGGTAGCGTCATGTGTGCATTTGATTTTTCCTACGGGTAGCGTGAGAAGAGCCTTCCAAGCCCTTTCTCGCAGAAAGAAACATTTCTAAATGACAAATGCCTATTCCTATGTAACTACCGGTGTCGTAAATGATTGACGTTTACACTATAGAAAAGAATTGGACGCATTGGAGAGGGTGCAGTGGAGGGCAACCAAAATGATTCAGGGGCTGGAGCACATGACCTACCAGGAGAGGCTGAGAGATTTGGGCTTATTTAGTCTGCAGAAGAGAAGAGTGAGGGGGGATTTGATAGCAGACTTCAACTTCCTGAAGGGAGGTTCCAAAGAGAGGATGAGAGAGTGACAGATGGCAGAACAAGGAGCAACGGTCTCAAGTTGCAGTGGGGGGAGGTCCAGGTTGGATATTAGGTAACACTATTTCACTAGGAGAGTGGTGAAGCACTGGAATGGGTTACCTAGGGAGGTGGTGGAATCTCCATCCCTAGAGGTTTTTAAGTCCTGGCTTTACAAAGCAGTGGCTGGGGTGGTTTAGTTGGGATTGGTCCTGCCTTGAGCAGGGGGCTGGACTTGATGACCTTCTGAGGTCTCTTCCAGCTCTATGATTCTACAGTGGTCCTGTATTATTGAGAATGGTGGTTCCTACATAACTGCTAGATGTACCAATATGAATTACTCTCCAGTCTCCTCTTACTATTAATTTTAAACTCGGTCTCTACTCTGGGCCTTCGTGCTCTGCCAACCTCACTCCAACTGAAAGTGTAGCCCAGCTCAAACCTTAGAGTGTACAGTAGAAAATGACTTAATTGCTGACAATATTTGTTATTCAGTTCCTTCTAAACTGGTGTGGAGAAGGATTGAACAGCTAATGTAGACAAGTTAAAAACATCTTCAACCCTGTTACACAAAAGCATGATTGAAACTTTGGCCCAACAATTGTCAGCTACAGGACAACTTCCTACTACACATGGGGGCCTTTGTCCCATGATCACAAGAATGGTGTTTACAGTAGCCTTAAATCCACACTGGATTAAAGTAAAAACAGCAGAGTGTGGGGCAGCAGGTTCTGACTGGTACAGCCAAGGTCTTAACCCAATAGATAAGTGCAATTACCCAGAATGGTTGGAAACGGGAGCTGTGGGACCACCAGTCAGAGCAATTATAGTTTGCATACCATTGTCCTCCAAGAAGAGCTTTACTGTGAAAATGGTCACTTGTCTAGAAAACAAGCTATCATAGGTAAACAGTGACCCTGAGTGGTGAGAAGAGAAATAACATGTTGTTTGCTTTGCTTTCTCACTGTTTGTGTTCAAAGACTGTGGGTGTGATTCTCCTTTAGTATAGACCTGGCCTGTGTAACTTGCATACTTAAAGCATAAAACATATTGTGTAGAAAACTGGAATGATGTATTTGTACTTATGCTGTTAAATGACATATATGTGCCATGCTGTCAGGGGTGCACACCCCCCAGTAGCCGCAATGCCCCCTTGACTGTCTTCACATGGTCCCTCTCAGGGCAAGTTATAGTCTGTATGGGTTGCTCATCATCGGCCACACAGCAGTTTATACTGGCCCTTTAAACAAGGCCAAGTCCATGAAACAGATTATTGTTGTAGCGGGGCACACCCCAGGTAGGGGGTCCCAGCGAGCAACCAGGTATAGGGTCACTCCCTCAGTGGGACTAGATAGCCGAAACACACCGAGGCTCTCGGGCCAGGAGGGGCGGCTCCCGCTCCTGCCCTGGGCCACTTCCTACCTGGCTTTGCCCAGCTGGCTGCAATCTCCAGGCCAGCATCCCCTCAGCAGGTAGTCTCCAGGTGCCACCAACTCACCTCCACCTTCCTCCAGGCCTCTCCTGGGGTCCCCAGCAACTGCTGAGGGAGAGCTTCCCTCTCCAGTCCATTTCCTGCAGCTGTCTCCCTCCCAGGAGCTCCTGCTGCCTCTGCAGTCAGCCCTACACTGCCTTTTCACCCCAGCAAACTGGGCTTCTCCCTTTATAGCTGGCAGCTGGGCTTGCCTAGCCACCCGGGCTTCCCAGATCTCTGACAGCTGGGGCTCATTAGCCTAACCATTTCAGCTGGGTTCTTCCAGCCACCCTAAGGCTCGAGGCCTGAGGCTTGGGCTTAAAGGCCCAGTGCAGGGCAGGTGCCCTGTCACACGTGCCTTGTGTACTTTGGGAAAATGGACTCAGCTACAGTGGAGGATTTTTCGGAAGAGTGACATCTGATACATTGAAGTTATTACTTTAAAAAAAATCCAACCTCTTTCTCCCATAGAGAAAAAATTCTAAATGAAAAGTGCCTATTCCTTATAGAACTACTTGTGTTGCAAATGATTGAAGTTTATGGTGATCAATTGGTGTAAGGCTTGGGGAATTTATTTCAATAGGGCCTTATTCTATGAGCTCTGGAACTGCATGAGCAGCACATTTAACTTTTTGATAGCAGTGCTTCTTAGGATGATATCATATTCGAGTGGCAGTTCTGGGATAGTCCTTTGAACCTGCTTCTGGCTTTCTCTGTATGTTTGAGACTTTTTTTCCCCCTTAGTCCAATGTCATCCCGCCTTCTGCAAAAGCGACTGTGAATTTTCGGATCCACCCATCACAAACGGTTGAAGAGGTACGGTCTGCATGTTCCATTTTTGTTCACCTGTTTTGTTTTATCGTGACACTGATCACTGACATGTCATTTACTTAACTTTCCTAGAACTTTGAAATAGGCAGTTGTTGACTGGTCTGGAGATGTCAGGCTTTCCTCTCTCTTGTAGATCTTGCCATGCCTCTAAGATCATCCATGCTTCTGCCACCTCCGCAGTGAGCTGTTGTAATATGCTCCACTTAAGGCTCCCATAGAAGCAGGGGTGAACATAACTTAAATTTCTTACAGGTACTGTCATGTTGCACTCCCCTAGAGGGGGCTCAGGGAACAGGGATGCGGGGAGCAATATGACAATGAAATAAAATTAAGTAGCCTTTTAGGAGTCACTCTTGCTTCAGAGTAACACATAGGCCAGTGGCTCCCAACTTCATTAGTTCACATACCGCCCCTTAAAAATTGTAAAGTGAATTGATGAAACATCAAGCTTGCATACTGCTGCTGGCACATGGTAATTCATTGTTTGGGAACCTTGACATGGACCATTCAAGCTTACATAGTAGTATTAAGGCTTATTTTTTGTCAGCTGCAGCCATGCCCATTAGAAAGTGGCCTGATCTCTCACACTTGAGCAGTTTTGACACTTGATCCCATAAAAAAGAGACATAATAACGGCCATACTGGGTCAGACCAATGATCCACCTAGCCCAGTATCGACAGTGGCCAATACCAGATGCCCCAAAGAGAGGGATCACAACAGGTAATCCTCACGTGATCCCTCCCCTGTGACCCATTTCCAGACAGCAGAGGCTAGGGATACCATTCCTACCCATCCTGGCTAATAGTTCTTTCCCACAATATAAGAACTAGAGGCCACCAAATGAAACTAATGGGCAGCAGGTTTAAAACAAATAAAAGGAAGTTCTTCTTCACACAGCGCATAGTCAATCTGTGGAACTCCTTGCCTGAGGACTATAACAGGGTTTAAAAGAGAACTAGATAAATTCACGGAGGTTAAATCCATTAATGGCTATTAGCCAGTATGAGTAAGGCATGGTGCCCCCAGCCTCTGTTTGTCAGAGGGTGGAGATGGATGGCAGGAGAGAGATGGCTTGATCCTTACCTGTTCAATTTACTCCTTCTGGGACACCTGGCATTGGCCACTGTCGGCAGACAGGGTACTGGGCTGGATGGACCTTGGGTCTGACCCAGAATGGCCATTCTTATGTTCTTATGTTATGTTCTTATAGCCATTGATGGACCCTAACCACCATGAATCTGTCTAGCTCTTTTTTGAACCCTGTTAAAGTCCTAGCCTTCACCACATCCTCTGTCAAGGAGTTCTATGGGTTGACTGTGTGCTGAGTGAAGAAAAACTTCCTTTTGTTTGTTTTAAACCTGCTGCCTATTAATTTCATTTGGTGACCCCTAGTTCTTATGTTACGGGAACAAGTAAATAACTTTTCCTTATTCACTTTCTCCATAACTGTCATGATTTTATAGACCTGTAATATATCGCTCCTTAGCCTCCTCTTTTCTAAGATGAAAAGTCAGTCTTTTTAATTTCTCTTCATATGGGACCCATTCCAAACCCCTCATCATTTTTGTTGCCCTTTTCTGAACCTTTTCCAATGCCAAGACATCTTTTTTGAGATGAGGAGATCACATCTGTATGCAGAATTCAAGATGTGGGCGTACCATGGTTTTATGTAGAGACAATAAGATATTTTCTGTCTTATTCTCTATCCCTTTGTTAATGATTCCTAACATTCTATTTGCTTGTTTGACTGCTGCTGCACACTGAGTGGATGTTTTCAGAGAACTGTTCACAATGTCTCCAAGATCACTTTTGAGTAGTTGTAGCCAAATTAGTCCCTGTTATATTGTATGTATAATTGGAATTATTTTTTCCAATGTGCGTTACTTTACATTTATCAACATTAAATTTCATTTGCCATTTTGTTGCCCAGTCACTTAGTTTGGTGAGATCTTTTGAAGCTGTACACAGTCTGCTTTGGTCTTAACTATCTTGAGCAGTTTAGTATCATCTGCAAATTTTGCCACCTCACTCTTTACCCCTTTCTCTAGATCATTTATAAATAAGTTGAATAGGATGGGTCCCAGGACAGACCCTTGGGAGACCCCACTAATTTTCTCTCTCCACTCTGAAAACTTACCATTTATTCCTACCCTGTCTTAAAACCAGTTATCAGTCCATACAAGGACCTTCTCTCTTATCCCATAGACATAGCCTATTATCTGTAAATCAGTAGGCCCCTCTCTCTGGACAAAGATCATGCTGGAATTTCATTCACTTGACTGATCAAGCTGGGTGATAGCCCTTGGTACGGAAGGGGCTAAGAAGGCCCTTTGAAGCAGTGACACATAAGTAATTGCCTTGAAAGTAATTTGACCTTCAATGCGAAGAGTAGGTGTGTGAGAGGAAAACAGACTTCCACCATGAGGCCATTACATGCTTCCCAGCCTGAGTGATTATCTTCTTTTGGAGCCATAGCTCGCTGTTCATTTACAAGGCAAGCCTTGAAGCTGACACCTACACAGTCATCCACAAAGAAAACTCTCATTCCCTTTACTTACTTATTCCTCTGGGTATATCCATAGGTGCTAGAGATAGTCAAAAACACTATTGCTGATGACAGAGTGAAGATAGACATACAGGAAGCCTTTGACCCGCTCCCTATCAGCCCATGGGATGATCGTGCCTTTGGAGTCCAGATTTTCCGAAGAACCCTGCTGGATGTTTTCCCTGATGTTGGCAGCGTAGCTCCAGGTAACGCAAACACATAATGATTATTGTTTCCTCTTATACTTCCACATTCCTGTCTCGCCCCCTTCTTTGTTATCATTTCTGTGTGTTCCTCCACCAGCTGTCAGTGACTGGGAACATCTGTTGTTCCCTCTTCTACTAGGTTCTATCTCTCTGCTCTAAACTGTGTGTGTTTATGGGGGAGAGTTATGATGGCAATAAAAAAAAAGCAAACAGGAGTTTGGCAGAAATAATGAACTCTGAATTGAGTCTCTGTGCAGGTCTAGGTTGAATATTAGAAAAAAATATTTCACTGGGGGAAGGGGGGCGGTGAAGTGCAGGAATGAGTTATCTAGGGAGGTGGTGGAATCTTCATCCTTAGAGGTTTTTAAGTCTCAGCTTGACAAAGCCTCGGCTGGGATGATGTAATTGGGATTAGTCCTGCAAGGAGTTGGACTAGATCACCTTGTGAGGTCTCTTCTGACCCGATGATTCTATGACTGGCAAACCCATCTTTCTTCTTCTGTGCGATACCTTGCCATCTAAAGCCCTTATTATGCCAGCTGTTCCACACTGGTGCTGCACAGCTTATGGGATAGGGACCTAAGCTTGAAACTGACATACAGAATAAAAACCTGATCCTGACAGATGCCAGGCACCACAATTCCCGTTGAAGCTACTGTGTCATGATGCTCGGCTTCTCTCGTTGCTAAAGAGTTCCAGCATTCTTTACTTCCTATGCTAACATGGGAACAATAATTTGTTTTCAAAGGGAGTTTTAAGTTTTCAACATGCTTTGAGATCCTGTTGAAATGCAGCATTCACAGAGCCTTTTTCCTTGGCAGCTGATTGGCTGCATTTGTGTTGAGACAACCTGACCTGTGGGTTTGTTTTCCAGGTATTTGTATTGGCAACACAGACAGCCGGCACTTCACTAATCTCACAGATGCCATTTATCGATTTAACCCAGTAGTCTTTAAACCGGATGATGTACCCAGGTATTCTATTCTGTTCTAGGGCGGGGAATGTTCTAGGGTGGGGACGATAGTCAAAGAAAATTAGTATGCACTGGCCTAGAGAATGAAACCCAGCTTTGTAGACTGTGGTGTGGCAGTATAGGCGCCTCAGACTCACCGAGGCCACACGTTTCCTGCAGACATGGGTTCTAGTAGGAAGCCTGTGTTCAGTATGCATGGCCACATGCCAGCACACACCTGGTGTTCCCACTTCATTAACCCTTTAAAGCTGGGAATTAGGTGAAGATATGGGTAACCATGCTAGGAGCTGGTTCACTTGCTAGCACATCAATTTTATCTTCCATATGAACGGAACTGAAATAGTCACAAATTACTCAAGTAGCTGTTCTGCATTCAGACTCGAAGGGCTGTGGTATGTCAGTGCAGGGAGTGGGACCTGGGGTACTGTTACACTTCCACTTTTCTGCCCTGTCTATCCACCCCATGGCCTTACCCACTGTGCTCTGGCCTTAGAATCAGTAAACCAGGCATGTTGGCCTCAGGAACAGATTATGCTTAGCATACATGAAATACACGGCTGTGTAGGGCACCTGAAAATTAGGGGCACTTAATTTTTGGGTGCCCCTATGCAGCCATATGTGCTTGTATGCCTAAGGACAACTCTGTCATCTCCGCTGCCTGGTTCTTCTCTGACCCCTCCCCAAGGATGTTCTCTCCTGGTGGCAGATCTTCTCCCTGCCCCCTCCACCCTTGCTCTTCTTGGCCAGCAGCCAGCCATTAACAGAGGGCTCCCTCCTAGCAGACTGGGGACAGACAGGAGCCCTCAGCATTTGCTGCTATGGAGGCCCCAGGGAAGCCTCGAGCCCTGACAAAAACTGCATGGGGGGAGGCCCTAAGCCCCTGGCAGAAGCCACATGTGGGGGGAGGAGGGAAGCCCCAGGTCCCCAGCAAAAGCCTTGGGGAGATGTGGGGGCTCAGTTGCATAGGGCCCCATATATTTTAAAGATGGCCCTGTTGCTTAGTGCATTCTTCTGCAGATTTTTATGTGTCTCATGCTGTTTCCTACTTACGTCCTGTCATGCCTGAACCTTTATAAAGAGAACTTGGGAATCAGCAGCCTGGACTCTGGGCTGGGTTTTCAGTTCCCATGCAGGTGGCTCTAGGGTTGCCAGGTGTCCTGTACTGAACCGGACAGCCTGGTATTTTTGCTTCCTGTCCGGTAAAAACAATCAGAAAATACCGAACACCTAAAATGTTTGGTATTTTCTGATTTTTTTTTCCCGGCCAGGAGGCAAAAATCCCGGGTGCTTACCGGGTTCTGCAGGGGAGCCGCCTGGCCTGGCGCAGGGCGGCAAGATGGCGGGCAGCTGCCGGCACCCTGTTAGGGCCAAAAAGCCTCAAAAGCGTTTCTTAAAGGGGCCACGCTGTTGTTTTTTTTCCCCTCAACAACTTTGGTCTCCCCCCTTTTTTTTTCTCAACAGAATTTTTTCCCCAGTGTTTGTTTTTTTTTGGTGGTGGGGGGCATTCAGTATTTTTGGTTAAATCATCTGGCAACCCTATGTGGCTCATGCCTATTGTAATGAAAAAATCTTCTTCTCCCTTTAACAGAGTCCATGGGTTGAATGAGAGGATCTCAGTTGAGGGTTATGAGAAACAAGTGGAATTTCTCTTCCAGCTGATTCAGAACTCTGATATCAGCAAGCTCCCAAAGCCTCATGCAGAATCCCACGAGCTCTAAGACAAAAGAAACGGGGAGAGGAGCAGCTCTCGAGGTGAATCATGGGATGGCAGCGACGTGGGGTGCACAAAGCAGCTACTGATCAACATGGCCCTGTTCTGGAACTAGGTTATTGAGAACAGCGATTTGCCTAGAGATGGAAAGCAATGAAGCGGCTCTTGGTAGATATAAAGCCTGCCAAAAAGTAAAGGGAAGCTTGAAATATCAGAAGAGAATTGGAGCAGTGGGAAAAAACCCTCTGATCTCTACACCACTTCATCTCCCTGGTTTCACCTGCAGCCATTCTATTCATGCTAATATTAAGGGAAGACATTGTGGGACGGACCTTGGTGGAGGCAATGTTCAGGAGATGGAACAAGCACGACATGGGAAAAACTGGTGGAAATAGCCAGAAAAGAGATTTATTTTCTAGAAATAGCCATCTCCTTTCATAACCCCACCCCATTACTGTACTATAATATAATTCATCTCTGTGGAAAAAGCCAGTGCAAGGCCTCGGCACCACCAAAGTCCTGTCTGGAGGGCTTAAGTCCCACTAAATAAGAATTTAATTAGGATTTAAGTGATGCCTGTGCCTTGTCCTGACCCTCTACATAGGGATGAATTTCATCCAAATGGGTCGTTATAGATATTCCCAAAATTCTAAAGCACCAGTCTGCAAGGGGCTGAGCTGAGTTTAATAGAAGCTGAAGACACTGAGAACTTTGCAAGATCAAGCCCCAGAAGTTTAAAAATCTCGGTGCTGTGCAGCTTTAAATATGATATTCAATGTAGGGTGATCATAGGTCCCATTTTGGCCGGGACAGTCCCTTTTTAAGCACCGTCCTAGCTGTTTTAGCAAAAGTGGACATTTGTCCTGTTTTGCTCTTGCCAATTGATCATCAGTTGGCAAGAGCAATGCAACAAGTGCCTACTTTTGCCAAAAAAGTGGGGCGCGCACCCCAGGGGGTGAGCGATAATGCCAGCCCTGCGGGGAGGGGAGGAGCAGGGGAGCGATACCAGCCCTGTGCAGGGGAAGCCCAGGCCAGCAGTTTGGGCCAGGCCTGTATATTGTCCTTATTGCCCTTTGGGAAGTATGATCACCCTAATTAAATGCTAACTGTGTACTCCCCAGCAGTATGTCTGTGGAGCCTGCTGTATAATGCCCCTGGTATTGCAGCAAGCTTGCTTTTGCCATTTCTAAGCAGACCTTCCCTTTTGCTCACATGCCATCCATTGCTTCCATTTGTCCTGGACTGTGATGCATTTTACTTGTGTAATGGATGGATATATGCGCCTCAAGGGATGCTAGCAACATACTGATAAGGCCATAGAGCATGTGCCCTCTCTTGAGCCTTCTCCATCCACTTCCTGCCTATGAACATTTCAGAAAACACTAATGCTGAAACACTTCCCTGGGGCTTGTTTTTCTGAAGGTGGGTGCTCAGCACATCCTGAAGTCCCATGTAAGAGCTCTCCTAGTCACTAAACATTTGAAAATCTTAGTCAGAATTTGCAGTAATAAATTCGCAAGATCTAATGACATAGTTCCAACTGGTAGTGCACCAGAGGAGGTACTAAATCCTGCCAGTGATTTCTTTCCCTCGTTGTTGTTGCCTTTAAATAATTCTGTCTCTCTTTTGTAAGCTTCGGAGACTCTATGTGATTGTGGAGCCAGACGTATGAATTGCAGCAACTCAGAATTGTGTATTCATCCATTTTCCCTCATCACCGAATAAGCTGATACCTAGGAAACGTGTTCTTCTCTTTTTATCTTTAGTTTTCCATTGCTCGTTTTGTCTCTGTACGGTGCAGAATGACTCCAGTTCCCTTCCAGGGTAGGGGGATCTGAGAACACTCTGCACCACACAGGAAAGGACCCTAACACACTGAAGCTGTGTCTACACTAGCACTTTTCAGAAAGTC